GCATTCGATGTCCCTTTTACAGACCTTTCTGAGTGATGTTCTCAGATTTGACCTCACCTCACGTCAATGGTTTAGCCTCCAGAGGCAAAAACTCTAAAAATAGCCCTTTTTGCGAAACATGTTTTTCGGTAATAACTTTTGACTTTATCCGCAATTCGTTAGAAGGGCCCAAAGGGGTTTTCGCACATAACTCAGAAACGGCTGCGAATTTCGACTTAGACTTTCAGTACCTCTCCGGACATCAATTCCTGAAAAATAGGTCCCAGATCATCTTAGGTCAAGCGCTATAGAGGTCCAACTGAGGTCATGTTCGGCGATTTTTCGCCGAAAAAGTTGTTTACGGAGAAAAATCGCAGAAAATCATAGTTTCAACTTCGCGACTCAAAAATTGGACCATAGGGATGGCAAAGGCATGGCAAACTAAAACCTTCTCTCAAAATCTCGAAATTTCAAAATATCCCAAGATCTAGGAATTTTCTAGCTCAAAATTTAGATTTCTTGGGATGCTCTTAACCCGCGACCGCCTGGAGGGGTGGGTCGGATCCGACCTCCCCCTCCGTTTTTCTTGAATAACTCATGAACCGCTTACGCTATCAACTTGAAACTTGGCATACCTTCCCCCCCCCCACCCCATCAATTTGACGTCTCCTGTGTAATTTTGAAGAAAAAATTTCCAAAAAAATTTGAGATATGTCGATTCTAGTGATGTAACTACGTGGCGTTTTCAGTCAAAAAGTGGTAAATGTTTAAAAAATCGCCAAAAATCAGGGTTTAAAGCAAATTGCAAATTAGGGACATCAATAGACGCAGCTTAACGAGTTCTTTTAACCCTCTTCCTGGCAGGGGGGCCTCAGGAGCCCCCCCCCCCCCCTGAGGTTTTTTGGTTATATCTCCCAAACGCTTTGAGCTAGGAAGCTCAAATTTTCTGACTTTTTCTAAAAGGCTTTTACGCAACATTTCTGAAAATTTTGAGTTGATCTGAGCTCAGATCAGGTCACCAGAGGCGGTTTGGTGACCCTACCTCAGAAAAGTTTTCAATCACGCCAGAGCTAGAGTTTTTGACCGATCAATTTCTTCTCTTCAGGCTTTAGTTAGGGTACCAGTATGTGCAATTTGTATATCTCAGAATTTTCATATCTGTGACCTGAGGTCAGGCCAGAGCCAGATTCGTGACCTTTACATTGCAAGCCAAGGCACGTCGTTTGGTATGCAGCATGACCATACCCCACAACCTCATTGATGAATGACCTGACCTTGACCTCAGGTCAAATTTCAAATTGACCTGTGACCGTCATCACATACTTATTTCGCATCGCCTCGGCGAGAGCAACAAAAAAAATGTATTGGTTTTATGTCTCTATGTTTCTTAGTTTAAAAGTTATATAGGTAACTAATTCCAAAACATTTTATCATTGATGACCTCTGGTGACCTCAATATTGACCTGACCTGAAAATATTTTATGTAAAAGTTGTAGATCTTTAAACGACCTATCAAACGCCGTTCGCCGTTTGTCGCTGCGATGTGTAGTTTTTGAGATCTGAAGGGGGGCCGAATCGGCCCCCCCGCCAGTTTCTTGTCCCGGCGGAGCCCGCCAGGAATAGGGTTAAATGGCTATCTCGGATTTTCCATTAAGTGCGTTTTTATCCCCTAAAAATTCAAAAAAACTATATTTTTTGGAAAACAGCTAACAAAATCCAAAATTTTGAGAATTTCCAAAAAAAACGGAATATATATTATAGAGCTCTATTAGAACATTAGATGTCCCAAATTTCAACTTCCTATCTTGATTTTTGACCCCCTGATTTTTGTAAAAATTAGCTCCAACATGCATAGGGCATGGTGACGTCATAAGCATTTTCGTGAATTAGAGGCACTTCTGATATCGCATGTAAAAACAAATGGCACCACTAGATTCCTGGGACAAAGCTTGTCTAGAAGAGTGCATTTTTTATGTCAAAAAAAAAGTTTAAAAAATTGACCTTTTTCTTAGCCCTCGTTTAGTTATGTATGGTATAAACGATTTTTTATGCTTTCAATGCACACCTATCACCAGCACAGTGACTTGGGGTCACATATAACCATTACCATCGGATTCGGCGTGAAAAATAAGCCATAAAACATGTGTCGCACGCCCAAGTAGTAGAAAGTGACCTTTCGTGACCTGACCTGACCTTGACCCGTACTTAGTATGACCCCTATACGCACATGGTGCCTTCACTAGGTCTTTGAGGTCATTTTTGGTGAGTTTCGAGCAGCAGCTATCGATTCCGCTGTCCGCAAGCCTAATCATGCAAAACCCCAAAATTTGACCTTTGACCTAATCTTGACCCGAAAGTTGACCTCAATCTTAAAATCTTAAGAGTGCTTTGGGAAGGTCTCGTAGAGACATTTCGAACGCCGCATCGCGGGGCTCGATGCGACTATCAGTTCCCGAGATAACAGGGGGGTCGGATCCGACCCCCCCTCCCCCAGGCTGTCGTGGGTGCGGAAATAGCCCAGGCGGTGCCGGGCTGCGAGTTTCCTAAGTGTGGAACTGCCCATACCTAAGGTCTATGATTGGCGCCAGCTTCGCCGAGATGACGTTACAGGCTGTGACGTCATGGCTCACAGTCGGCTTACCAATCGCTGCACGATTATAGGCTAGCGGCGCGCGGCACTAGCGCCCCTGGTGTTATTATGGGAAGTTGAGCAATTACATTGAAATCTAATGCATAGCTTGTGTTGGGAACAATTATGTATTACTAAGGCGTCAATGTCTCACAAATTAATTCGTCCGTGCTCCTCAAATTTTGCAAAGTGACCTTATATTATGCGTCATAAGGTACTAACGCTTCAAACAATCAACACAAAGCACCAGCCAGGCACTGTTACAAGTAGCGAGCAGTTTAGTGGCGGCAGGTGGCGCTACCATCTCCAGCATCGGTTCAGATGGCGTCACTCACTATCCGCACTATAGTACCGCATTACCTGCTAATAAAATAAATAATAAATCCGCTAATAAATCTGCTAATAATCTCGCTAGTCGCTAATAAATCTGCTAATAATAAATTCGCACTACCTGCTAATTTATGTCCTAAGTGGTGTCAAACATCATTCAACGCCGATAGGCAGTATCACCAGCCGTAATACTGAAGACATTTGCTCAATCACACGCTTGTGTGTTTTAGGGAACTCGCTAAAATTAAGACTGACTAAATATTTACGCAGGATAACTGACTCCGCCTCTTCGCCAACTTAAGGATCCGCCAATCCATGCACCTAGCCGCCAGCGCCGAGTGATGACGTCACTCGAACGGGCGACGGTATGAATAGTTCCACACTTAGGAAAAGATCCGCCTTGTTGAGAGCTTTCGATTGCCGTTTTCCCTATCTTTCACTTTCTACGACCATCGGTTCGGAAGTTAGACAGGGGAGCAGAATATGCCCCCCTCCCCCCCCTCCCCCCAGCAGGGCGCGTATGGCTGAATAGCCCAGCGGGGCGCGGGTTAACGGTCATGAATTGATGCAGCGGATGGTGACCAATTTTGAGGTCTGCAGTCAGCCGGTGACCATTGAGGTCAGGTTAAAGTGGGGGTCTGGTTTGTGGTAGATGTGCTAACTTCTGGGCTTATCATAGAAACACAATCAATAACCATCGATTTTGGATACCGTCAATCGTCATATTTTCCATGTTCACAGTTCAGTTATAGCATCAAATGAATATTATCCTGCGCTCTGCTATGGGTGTCTCAAATCTCATAATGAATCTCCGCCTTTTTTGGCACACCTTAGTATGCATGTATAACTTTTCTCAACATGCTGTGAAGATTTCAGATCCAGGGCTTTCAAAGTTAGGTCATCACTCATCAGGTGATGTCAGTCGTCAACTCACCTTACCTCAAATAGTTCCGGTGTTTGCCATAACTATTAACTACACCAACGGACCGATTTCTTGGAAACTTTTAGCTTAACTCGCAAACATCTGGTTATAGGCAAACATGAAAAATTAAAATAAAACAATTTGCATACCCGTGACACTTCTTTATAACCCTGAAGCCAGCTCAGGTCACGAAAGTTCGCGAACAGTTTCCGACAGCAATTTTTTATGAACATGCTATACCTAGAGCGATTAAAATACTAAAGATATGCTCACTTCCATGATACGGATCGACTGACATGCAACATGAATTTTTTTTTGGGGGGGTCAGGCCATGACCTTGACCTTAAGTCAAATTTTAAGACCTTTAAAAGTCAAATTACAGCTCATTCAGCGTGGTTTGTTGAGAGAAACACTGTACCAGTTTAAGTCATTTCGCGCAAATTTTGAGACAAAAGTTTTTGCAGAAAAAAAATACCCTGACCCGGTGTGACTGGCGCCGAGCTGTATTTTGTAATTGTTTATATGATGTATGTATTTACAATCATAGGCGATCCACACATGGCGTGGCGATTACTGCCCGTCCTCTCGCTACGCAAACAATGCGCTCGTTTTTTGTTCACGAAATTCTAGCTCGATGAAGGGCTGGGGCTTCCGTCAACCTTCCCCCAATAGGTTAGCGGCTGCATGAAAACGGCAACGCCATACGGGCGATCTTTATCTACCATCTCCTGCCAGCCTAGCATTGTAACTAGTTATTATACTGCACATTGTTTGTGGTCCTCGAACCGTTTCTTTCACAGTTTTGGCATAACTACAATGATACAAATTTGCATCAAACCAATAAACTGCATAACCTAGATGTGATGTACATGTCAAAATATTAAAGTAAAAGTAAAACTACGCATGCTCATTGCTCACCTATAAGTTACAGCACCTGCCACCTGAATCCGTCTGAAAACCCATGTCACTGTCCATTTCCTCCGCTTCCAGTTTCCTCCGGTGGTATCGGGTTACCTGCAGCGCCTCGTGTTGCGGGTGGTGCAGAGGCGCCGCCGCCGCCGGCTGCGGTCAGCTGGGGCGTCCGGCCCGCCCCGCCCCGTCGGCTGCGTCGCCGCCGACGCGCCCCATTCCGTCGGGAGCACCGCCGCCGTCGACAGGGCCGCGTCGGCCGCCGTCGCTGCCGAGTGCCGCAGAAAGCCTGGCCACAGGATAGGCTGGTCGAAGGGTTGACGCAGAGCGACATTGCGTCCTGCGAACCTGTCGACGGCTCACCGTATGTGCTGAGGAGCATGGGCTAAGGTGAGTTCATTTCGCTGTCTCCCTCTTTCTACCTGTCCTATGGCGAATATCAATCCATGATTGAGCACCAACAATGTCCCTGGACAGTGGACAGTGTAAGCACACCCACCGATCCCGCGGTGACCTGTGTGCCATTCTGACCTGCCCGGCGTCACGGCTCAGCCTCCGTAGGCGGCGTGGAATGGCATGTCTCGCGGAGCTGAGTGCCAGTGACATGTGTGCGCCGGGCTCGATTGGTGCTGGCACGTCCGGTGTGCGCGACTGACGGGTCAGATGGATTGCCCGCGGCGCTCGGATAGACCGAGACGGATCAGCGAGGTAGGGAGATGTTCCACCGGTTCTTGTCTTATCAGCCGTTGTTGGCGATGATGATTCCATTTTATTCATGTTCGGTATAACCATTTAATTCATTTCCGGTATAGCGAACCGTCAAAGCTGGTGCTTTAAATTGAAACGGAGTTGAGCATTTTTTCATGATATTACTGGATGATTTGAGGTATTCGTCTAAGCACAGTCAAACAGTTCAGTTTCTTGTAGGCATTATCGCCGTCTTTTTTCAATAGGACAGCCGGTGCTTTCTTTATTCGGATATTGCCATGTGTAGAGATTCAATTTGTTGACATTTGCTTTTGAACTTATGCATCCCTAGGCCCTATATCATCTCTTTCAGTCGAAGAGACGACGACGGGCAGTTCGTATCTCACAGTTCTGTTCGACCCGCCCTAACACGTTAGACGTCTGTCAGCTGGTGATTGATGCTGATATGTCGTATGCGTGACGTCAGCTGCTAGCTCTGCGGTGGTCGTCGTGTCAGCCTATCACGTCAGCCGTGGTCAGCGATAGGCCGCGTGACGGCGAAACTGGCGAGCCTCTGACGTCACTGGACTGAAATGGGGGTCAAGCCAGCCAGGTAGCTGAGATAACGATGTTGGGCGGGTCAACCTTATACACCAGGGTCAATTGATACTGGTTGCTGGAAAATGTGTAACTTTATCCCTAGCCGGCCGAGGGGGGCAAGTGCCGCCCCTGATTTTTTCGTGATAACTTAGAGCACGCCGGTGATAGAGAGCGAAAACTTGGTATATCTGACCATTGATTCAAGCCGGATCATATGACAACCGCATTTTCAAGTCAAGTCAGGTCACTGACCTATGACGTCATAAGTGAACCTCTGTATGGTACTGAGATGTTGCAACTGCGCAACGTCCTCAGTGCCAGAGAAACTTTCACAGGGAGATGAAACTTGCATCCTTTAGAGGTTTCACAACTTGTAAATCTCAGCTTTCTCCAAGAATCACCTGAGGTCAGGTCGGTCAAGTGACCTCACCATTATAAGTCGATGGGGGAAATATCGAGACTGTTATTTTGGCGCGGGAATGATATAAAACTATCTCAAGCACATGTAATCGTGATTGTGTGCACTCATTGCAAGGAGACCTTGCATGCCTGGTCCTATGCTTCAATTTGCATTGTTGACCTTGCTTACGTCATTTATGACGTCACTGAGGTCATAAGAGTTTTTCATTAATAACTCCCGATTAAATTGAGCTAGAGAGTCGTCGGAAAAGCCACCAATGGACTCGGAAAGGCCTGCCGAATCGAATATATGCGCTATGACCTCTTCCGACCAGCTTCGTTACCTGAAGGGTTCTGATCTGACCTTGACCCGAGGTCAACACCTGAATTTTACCTCACCCGAACACAATGTATACCATTCGACGCGTCTGTGCTAGGCAAGCATGCTGATGCCATAATTGCGACTCATTGGTCATTTTTTTCGAAGTTATTTACCAAAGACCAAATCCGTGGCTGGTCCACTTGACCTGACCTCAGAGGTCACCGGTTGACCTGAGAAAATCGGGTATCAATCGCTGCGTCTTGTAACGGCGCACATGTTCGTTTTTTTCGTGAGGTTCTAACTTCATTAGGGGCGAAACGGCGAAGGGGGTCGTACCAATCAAATCCCCCCCCCCCTCGGTACGTAGAAAACCAATATGTCCGGCGAGGGTTATGGTAGCTCAAAATTTAACCCTCGCCCATGTAGGGGGGGGTTGGTGCAACCCCCCCCCCCTTAGGTTTTTCGGAAATAGTGCAAAAACGGCGGCGCGCAGCGCCGCCAAATTTTGGGTACCTTATGGGGCAAACCTTGCGCATCTTTTGATAAAAAAAAATTGACCGGGTCATGTCAGGTCACGGAGTTATGACGTCACAAAGGGAACAGCCTCCGGCCGGATTTTCACAAACTGAGTGCCAACGCCCGAGGTTTCCTGCCGGTGGTACGGACATCGGTTGATGGATCGTGATGAAACTTCCCATGCATGTTGGGGCAAGTATTGGCTATCATATGGTATAAGAAACTTGACCGGGTCAGGTCAGGTCACGGAGCTATGACGTCACAAGAGGAACAGCGTCCGGTACTATTTTTGAAAAGCGCCCGAACCACTATTTTGCTAATTCTTGTCACCTCAATGGGAATATGCAGCAATATTAGCTTCTATAGGGAGCAAATGGACCTTCCAAATCAAAAAATACAATCAGATTTCAAAAATTTAAATTTTGATTTTTCGAATTTCTGCCGCCGACTGTGACCTTGCCGACTTCCGGCGCTCCCAACGCGCCATTTTTAGAGCTAGGGAAACGAAATACATACCAAACGATAGAGAATTGATCAAGGAACACGATAGTGAAGGTTTCAAGTCGATATCTCCCACCGTTTTGCCGCAATCGCCGCGGAAAGTTGAAAAAAGTCTATTTTTCGGAAAATTTGACCTTTGACCGGTCAAAAGTAGGTCAAATGTTGACCTAGGACCAAAAAATATACCACCAATCGCGAGATCTCGGCGAGAGCAATCCGTTGGTCTTTTCCGCTAAGCTCTACGACGCTCCGTTTTCAAACGCCAAGGGGGGGTCGCACCAACCCCCCCCCCCCCTGCATGGGCGAAGGTGGCAGATCGCCGTTTACGGGCGAGGGTTAACCCGCGCGGGGCTGGGGGGGTAAATTTTACCCCCCTCGCGAATTTTGGCAATATCTCAAAAACGGCGGCGCGCAGCGCCGCCAAACTTTCAGTACCTTTTCTTACATCAATTTGACACGTTCCCTGAAAATTTGAGCGAAATCCGTCGGAAAATTTTTGAGAAATTGACGTTTTAGTGACGTCATGTTCGCCATTTTCGCCTCAAAAACGGCAAAAGTTCAAACGCCGCTAACATCTTCATTTTTAAAGGAATCAATACGTAACAAAAAAGGATATACGTAATTTTACTTTGCCTATCAAATGGCTATCTCGGTTTTTTGAAAATTTTGGATTTTGGCCCAATTTTTTTTTCAAAAAACTGACTTTTTTGGGAAAATAGCTATAAAATCCAAAATTATGAGTGTATCGAAAAAACCGGAATATATGTCAGAAAAGTGGTCTATGTGCACCTACATACCAATTTTTAGAAGAATCAGTTCAAAAATGTGGGAGTTATTCAAACTTTTATGACGTCACGACACACAATTTTTTTGAAAAATGACTTTTTTGGAAGTTCTAGACCTCGTACGGAAACAAAAGTAGCACCATTCGATTCGCCGTGAAAAACTGCATCAGATAGACACCTTTTTAGGCCTTAACAACCAACTTCAAAATTTGACCTCACCTGACCTGACCTTGACCTGACCTCGACCTGAAATTCATCCAGAGGTGGTCCATATCACTTATTGAGTGTGCCTATTGAATTCTATGTGTAAAATGACCCATAAAACATGTGTCGCACATGCCCTTTTCTATATTTTGTTTTTGGTGACCTGACCTGACCTGACCTGACCTTGACCTTGACCTCTGAATGATATTGTATGCAACGAATATTGTCTTGGTAGCCTAAGAACACGTTTTGGGCGATCAGTCTCAGTCCATGACTCCATTCTTCGGCAACTACGGTGCAAGGCCGATACTGTAGGAACTTGCAATTTGTACCCTTGACCTGACCTTGACCTTGACCTCAAGCTTAAAATTAAGTACATGTTTTTAGTGGTTCGTGATGAGATCTTTCGATTGGCGTTTGAATTTTCCAAATCGGACCATTAGTTCGGGAGATAACAGGGGGGTAAAATTTACCCCCCCAGCCCCGCGCGTTCGGCTGGAGACCCCAGCCCCGCGCGGGTTAAGGTGTAGTTTAATTTTAGAGCATTTATTCAACCGTGGGACATTTTAGAAGTGTTCTAAGCTTTTACCAATTTTTCGTATTTGAATGAAAGCTAAGGTAAAAGTACCTACTGTTTATGCTGGGTTCCTACTGGTTATGCAAAGGCTTCCGTCACCCAGACTTCTCCGTGCAAAGAGACGCAATGGGACACGCAAGTCATTTACGAGTTTGATAAAGCTTAATTTAAGCTTGTTGCATGGGGTGGAATTTGTGCACGTTCAAGCGACGGATGGAACCACGGACGTGACTGTCTGTTCTAAAGTTGGTGCCATTTTCACTTTCAGTTAATGTTTTCAGCTTTTTAAAATCACTTTGTGATGGAATGAGTTCGTATTAAATCATTTCCTACCTTCCATATCATGGCGTTTCTGCTCCAATGTGCAGCCGAATAAGAAAAATGGGGGCTAAAATGCCTACGAATTGAATCGGAATGACGCATTACAGTTTTCGGGTCAGATCAACAATCTGACCAATGTATTGGCATATGTAAACATCTTTCGATCAGCTAATTGGAGTGAAAAATATCTAATTCATGGTTGTCCGGAATACCTATGCATGCAAAAATAAACACTTTCTAAGGCCTTCGTAATATTTCTCTTCTTCATTATTTTTAATTGTGACATAAAGGCATGCCTATTGCCTAATCTATACATTTGTGATAAAAACCTAGCAAATAAGGAATAAGGCTTTCCATTTTCCGTCGCAAGAGACTTGCTCGGTTCCTAAAAATCATGCATTTGCTACAACAAAAGAAAAACTAAAGATAACCCGCGCCCCACTGGGGTCTGCGTATAACACGCCCTACTGGGGGGGGG